TTAATGTGATATCGTTTATTCCGGAAAATTGGCTATAATATATATTTTTTGAGGCAAATCAAAATGCCCACTCCAACACGCGTGTTCGATTCCAAATCAAACTACCCAAGGGTAATAAGTTCCAGCGCGCGTTCTCTTATAAGCACAGTACTAACGTTTAATAACGCGCGAGCAGTCCCCCGGGGTTGCTCATTATGTAACCGTCGCTGCTGATATTTCTACCGATGTAGTTTCTAACAAAAAAAAATGATAATAAAGAAATAAACAAAATAAAATATTTCCCCCCAAAACACTATCGAGGAGGTGTGCTAACGCGCGTCGTGCCCTCTCCCTCTGGGCCCGGCCGGCGCGGCGCTTTCAGCTGCGAGGCTCACGCTCCAGCGGTTTCCCTTGTTTCTCACAGCCCAAGAGTTGCCATACAGCACGCGCCGTGTTTACCTGCGTAGGCCACCTCGAAGCAGGGAGCGGGGGGGCAATTGCGCTGACGCATTGAATAATGCAACCCCGGCGGGGGAAAAGGCCCCACATCAAGAACAGAAAGAGCACCAAATGCCCCAAAGCAACCCGAGGCAGTGGGGGAGACAAAAGGTGCACGAGGTAAAATTAGGCAGCAAGGGGGCGAGCCGCTTGGCTAGACGTTTCTTGAATGAGTGATTTGCAATTTCGGTCTCTCTCTCTCTCTCTCTCTCGCATTTTTGTTTTGTATGCTTCTTTTAATGCGTGTGTACGAAGAAAGAAAAGTTACGCGGCAGAGGGGTTTTTCGCGATGGTAGTTTTTTTTTTTACCACTTCTCTTTTGGGTGTGCGCCGTCTGGTATTGTTTCTGTGAAAATGGCACGCTCGTATCTCTTGAGCGTTAGTCATCGGGTGGCCGATCAGTTGGTGTTGAGGTGTCTCGTTTGGTTTTTGTTTTTTTTTCGTTTTGTTTAAAACGCTATGGTTCAATATCGGACACTAAAAATACTTTTGAAATTTTTTTTTTTTTGTAATTTACAACTGCCAGTATCTTTTTTTTTTCGTGGGGAATTTGTGACGAAAGTTTTTGTCAAAACACTCGTCTAAAATATTGAATCGTGCGCTGGCTCGCGCGTCGTCAAAAGCAGCACGCGGACCGGCACGTGCTCTGGTCACGGTAAACCAGCTGCTAAAGCACGCGAAAAAGCCACAGGCTCTGTTTTTTTTTTTTTTTCAACGTCTCCGCATTCCAACTGGGTTGTCAGGGCATCTGAAATGAGGCGTGTTGCGCGTATGGTTAGACAACGGGAACTAAGTCAGCCCCCAGCGGGCGTCCGCTGCCTTCCCTATGCGCCGAGAAAGTGAGAGAGAGGAGGAGACCAGACCGCACGGCGACGTCGGAACGCCGAGCTCTAATGGGACTAATTAGTGGGTAGACCTAAAGCTATAGCTTAGCCCCGAGAGCGAACACAAGCGTCGCTGCGGTCGCCGCGCCCGGATTGGGTGAGGTGTACCGTGACGTCAGGGGGAGGACTGCGCTCCGCGATCTCGCATCGGCGCGCTTCCCAGCACCGGTTTCCTGGTTTGGCGTTGTGTGCCGCAAGCGCTTCGAGGAGCTGGACTTCGTTTACCCGGTGTGCAAGACGTTGAGTTAGGCCGATATTGACGTGCTTCCGTACATTTTAGAAGCCTGCTTGTCCCTTTTACCTTTAAAATTGGGTTACAAATCCCGAAAGCTATCGGCCGAGGCAATTCCGCCGATGAACCTCCCCGTCCGTCCACACGACACAAGGCAGTCTTGCGAGGGGTCGGTGAAGCGGTGGCGCAAGTGTTTCAGACGCTGGAATTCTGTTCCTTGCATGTTCATGATTTAGGATGATATTACATCCCGCTTTCAAGGCATTTGAAGTGGCATTTATATCATGGGCCTTTGGGTGGTCGGCAAATTAGCTCGCGACCCCGACTCTGCGCTGCCACTCTGCATGCGCTGGTTCGCCGATGTTTTAAAGGCCCTGCGTCTGATGATCTTGGAAGTGCTCGTGGAACAGGGTTGTTTTACATAAATGTAGCTTCTTTGTGAATTAATTATATAGTTTATACACGTATGCAGGCATATTTCTTAGAAGCTGCACAATTACTGGAAATTAGTTTGTATGGTAGCAGCAAAAACGACCGAATTGCCGCCAGTTGCCTGTATGATATGTATTGAACTGCCAAAATATGCACGGCAATAGTGCCGTAATATGGAATGTTTATACTTTTTCCTTTCATTCTTTATTCCAGCCTATTCCGAAAATACACCGTTTAGTCTGAATTGTCATTTCCAATTAAAAGAGACACTGCTGCAGGTCCCCAAAAGCTTCCTCAGCCTCCAAAGTCCACAGAGCTGGACTCTCTGACAACAGAGAAAAACAGGAGTAAAAGCAAGCATTCGAACGTCTGTCCAGTGGTAGATGCAGCACTAGCAGCAGAAAATGTGGAACCTGTGAAGGGCGAAAGTCTGCGTGAGAAAAGCTTCTGGTATTTTAGCTTCAGGACAATTCAATTTAAGTAAAATATCAATTTTAGGGCTTAAGGGACAAATAACGAGCTAGACACCTTCGCTTACGTTTGTTATACATTATTTGAAGGTTGATATAAACAAGTCCACAGATACTACCCGTGTAGTCCATTGAAATACTATCCGGATCCAGCAAAGGTCAAATGCGAGCAATGCATATAATAAATGTTCCTTGTTTCTTTACTTTGCCCCTGCACTTGGGCTGTCTTACTTGTGATTCTCTCCCCATGGCCCAGACTATATTTAGCATGTTGCTCGAGCAGCATACAGCTTTTCTGCGTCGGGGATCTTGTTTAAAAACAGATACAAAAAAAAAATAGTATACATGACCCGCCAATTCAGTCAGACCATCAGCAGAATCCTGCAATTGTGGCCATATTTCTTTATTTTCATATATCAGCTGTGATTCACGCGTTCCCTGCCCTGTCAACCATGCTTAAAATGTTGGTTGAAGTTTCGCCTGTAGCTACAGGCCATACCTCAATAAAGGCACATAAAGAAATTTACACTTCCTACGAAAAAACACGCCAAAAAAAAATTAAATAGAAACCAGCGCGCCGACAGCTAGCGTCGTCGCAGCCTCCACAGGGCGAGCGGGGCAAGTCTGGGAAAAATTCTCTCCTCGCCGTGACGTCACCCCGGTTCGCCGTAAGGGGGCGCCACGCGAACTTCTCGGGGCTAATAGCTGCCTTTCTCTCCACTGCACTCGTTGAACGCTTCCGAATGCGAAAGCCAAACGCCGGACGCTGGCGTTCCGCGTTGAAACGCGTCCGACGAGTGCGGTGGAGACAAAGGCAGCTAGCTTTAGGTCTACCCGCTAATCCTTCCAATCAGAGCTCCGCGTTCCGATGTCCCTTCTCTTCTTCTCTTCTGCCCCAATTTCTCGGCGCATAGACGGGAAATGTAGCCAGAGCAGCACGATCGATGATAGCCCGGTGTCTTTCACCCGCATCGCGCAGTATTAGCGTCGAGATGTTTCGGTGGCGCCCTCGTTCGGTTACCTTTCGTGACGTCATTACCTTGTGAACAGCAAGTTCGATGGTGTTTTGTAATGGCGTGGTGGAAACCTGAAATCATAGCGCTCTCAAGGCAACACGGCAAACACCGCCAAAATTGAAGTTCTTACATTCCTCTTATTTCCGTCGATGAGACATCCTTTGCTGACGTCATAGTCAGCATTCGGCCAATTGTGGTGGGCCGACCACAGCGACGCGTTCGATCGCTCACGTCGCCAATAGTGATACACAGACACGCGCCGGTACGACGCTCGTTCAGATTGAAAACACCAGAGGTGGCGACTGAACCCAGTATTCCTGGGTTCTGCAGCGCGAGCTCCGTAGATGGTTCCTAATTTGCTGACCGTGCTCCAGAGTTATATAGCGTTTTTGTTTTTATCATGTTTGTGCACTGTGCTTGTTCCGTACTTTTTTTTTTAAATTTGAAAACCGGTAGCTTCAGTGGTACGTGCAAAATCGTTACGACTGTATTCTCGTGAATTTTTTATTTAATCATCATCGTCGTCGTCGTCGTCGTCATTTGTTGAACCTTGACAGCCCATAGGGAATTACGCGAGAGGCGAGGAAATCGGTATAGACGCTTTCAGCGCGCGCCAGACTGAGCCGCCATATCCGACCTCTTGTCTTACCGAAATTCAGAGCCACTGAAGCGGGCGTTGACGAGTCTCCACAAGGGCCTATGCTGGGGGGAAGGACACAGTAATACTTAAAGTGGCAATAACCCTTCCTGCTGTGGCAATGGTGAAGTAAAGCGAACGGAATAAGAGGAAACAAACACTGAAGGTCGGTAATGGTGGCGCCCATGGACAGCTGCCTGAAAGCGTCAATAAAAAAAGACGAAGTCGTTTTTAGATCAAACGTGAATCTATATGGTTCAGAAATGTAAACAAATAAAGCACATTTCCACAAATGACGTTTCAAAGATGGTTACGCTATAGGCGCAAATAGGAGTATTCGGTTAGTGGGGCTAGAAATGGTGATATAATCAATATGGGTCACGTCGCTTTTAGGCTGGTTGTTCCATTATGCTATTAATAATGGCCAGGTGGAATGCAGAAATGAGGCAGATGTTATCAAATCACTTCTTATTTCGACCGCTTATTTATGCTCGAATAAATGGCCCTCCTCCGATGCTGACAATGTTCTATGAGCAACTCCCAAACCAAAGACTGAGAAAACTACGCGAAAAAGAACCATGTTATTTAAAGAGGTAAAGTCACGAAGTGCACGTATTGATTTCCAGCGTAATTTAACTCGTTCGTGTCCTAAGTTGAATCTCGTTTTACCAGAGCTGCTGTCAGTGTGAAGAGGGACCCAGACACAGTCAAGCTGCTTCTAGCAGATTTTTGTCCGAGGACCCCTCCATTGTTTATGGGGAAAAGAAGCTTTGATCGATTGATTGATCACTGACAATGATGCACATTATCAGCGATAAATGAACGCATATATCTCGTCTCCTCTCTTTCCAGAAAATGCGCAGTACTTGGAACGGAACTTCACGGTGCGGTTCCGCTGCCTGTTGGACAACACGTCGGGGTTCTTGGTCAGTACGATTCGGTATTCTCTGCTTTCAGGCTATACAATTTATTTAGCCCCCCTCCCCCCCTAAAGTTGTTTATTAATGGCTATGTTATAACAAACCGTAAAGGCATAGACTAGCTTTTTCTTTTTTTCTGTACGCTTCTCGTTCTGTTTATTATCGTAGACAATTTGCCGATTCTCACATGCTCAATCATATGCGCCGAAAAGAAAATTCACATGCTCCTATCTTATTTGACATTCCGGTTGCTATGAAACACTCGCAAAAAAATAGAAAAAACGGGCACCAGACACTTTTCTTTTTAATCTTTTGTTGTAGGTATACTAGAACAACAGCGATGTCTGACGCATGCACAAGCAGTAGATGACCATAAAAGCAAGAATAAAGGACACGTTAAGGTTTCCTTTGAGCAACCACCACAAAGCTACGCTCCCTACCACTTCAGCGTCCACCAGGGTGGTCGGTCGCCTCCCCTGGGGAAGAGCCCATCGGCGGGCCATACACGAACGAAGGCCTTGCTAAACGGCACTCTACCGATCGCCATCGCCATCAGCGCTCGGGAGAGCTTTTCAGGGTTGCTAGACCAGATTTCCGCTTTCGCTTTATTCCTCTTTCCCGCCGCAACCTGGCGAAAGAGGGGGGAGGCAGTTGTCCAGGTGCGTCCGCTAATGTTTTATCGATAAATCTCCCTTCTGTCTTTCCCTTTTTGCTCTGGCCCTTGAGGGCGCAATATCCTTCTTTGATTTCCTTTTTCTGCGTGTCTTCTTTCGCTCACCTTTCATTTTAGTCTTTTTGCTCTGTACTTTGTTTCCTCTTTTTTTTTTTTTCCGACCTTCTTTCTTTCTTTTTTCGCCACCGCCAATCTCAAATAAGGGCGACAATAGCGAAATTCGTAATTACGCCAGAGCAGCGAATTTAGGACTATGCAATAATCAAGGAAAAAGGGGAAAAAATAAAATACCCGTGGAAGTAAAATTATTACTTCTCGTTTTCCTTATTTCTTTTGCTTTTGACTGATTGTGTGCGAGGTGTTGGCGCCGTCGCTTTTGTTCTTCGCTACGTTTTTTTTTTTTTTTTTTTTTTGCTTTTCCGTTTTGACGTACACCCCAAACATTACGAGAAAGCAATGGCGAGAAGGTCGGGTAAAAAGCGGAGAAAGCGAAGAAGCAGTATATCTGAGGTTGTAGACTACAAGCCTCTCGTCACGTTTCTGCTACGTATGGTTTATTTTGTGAACGAAAGCAGTCATCTTTACGTTTGAGTCCTTGAGCGACATTCACGTGGTTCGCTTTGAAACTTTGGTGTTCGAAATGAAGCGACCTGGAAAATGGCCGCCGACGTTTCGATTAGGTATAAAAATAGGTTGGCGAAACGTTTGCTACCATTCCGACGCTGCCAACAGATTCCTTTCGGAGCGATCTCTGTCAGTTTCAGATGTCACTCCTTTTTGCTTGATTTGTTTTGCGTTAATAGAGAGTTTTAGTAGATCTTTCCGACGAATCCGACGCCTTTGCGCATACATCGTGACGCCATCGGGAATCTTTATCGGACATGACGGAACGATGTACTAAAGCTCTCTATTGGTTACGCCAATAACGCAAAAACGATCGAGTCAGAAACAAGTCCCTAAACACTAGCTCACACATTTCCGTTTGCTTGTGACCGAGTGCGTTGTGCAGCATTGTGCCCCCTTACGACGAAATAACACGCTGGCATGGTGGCGCCATCTATGAGGTGGCCCTGGAACTGCATATAACTAGAGTGAATGTATTGTAGTTCTTGCGAGATCAAATGTACACACTATTATAAATTAATAACATTGCCAAACGTTTTGCGAACCCATCTTGAAAGAATGATGCGCAAAAAACATGAGAAAATCTACACGTATCGCCAGGGTTCCAGCGTTACCCCATAGATGGCGCCAGTGTGGTCTAAATAAAAATAGTTTTGGAACTGCTTGAGTTCATTAAGTCATTAAACAAAGTCGGAGCAGAAGTATACTGTCATGCTTGATGGTAATCAGCTTGAAGGGAATGAGGCAATTGAATATATTGGAACCGTAATGCCAGAGAAGTTCAAGCAGCTAGGATACATAGGAAGCGCCTCGCCAATGGAAGACAATTCAAGTGCTGATGTTGAGGCTATCGGACAAAAAAGGTTAAGAAAGGTACATAAACAGGTGCAGATGGTATACCAATAAAGGTGATAAAACACTTAGGATTGAATTCTAAGGAAGCATGAAGGGAACTGCCCCGGAACAATGCAGACTAAGCAGAATGAGTTTAATGTACAAGGAAAATGGAGACAAAGCTGACATAAGTAACTATCGTCACATAGGAGTAACATCAGTAGTCTGCAGGTTGGCACTTCACATTATCAAAGAGAAATTACAGGCATGGGTAGAAAATGAGAATGTGCTAGGAGAGATACAAAATGGGTTCCGAAAAGAAAGGAGGTTGGAGGACAGATTATTTTCATTAAGACGATGTATCGATGTAGCAGAAAAGGAAGGCAGACCACTCTGGTTAGCATACTTACATATAAAGGGGGCTTATGACAATGTCATTCAAGGCAAATTGTGGAGCATAAAAAGGAGCTTAGATGTGGACGACGGAATATTCGAATTTTTAAGGGATATTTACAAAGACAACATGGTACTAATAACATGGGAAGGAAAAATAACAAAGCCAATAGAGATCAATCGAGCTCTTAGACAGGGATGCCCTCTGTCTCCGTTGTTGTTCATACTGTATCTCCAAACATTAGAGGAAACGTTAGAAAAAACCAAACTTGGGTTTGACCTTTCATAGGATAGGGAAGGTCAAAAGATCAAACAGTCATTACCAGGTCTGATGTGTGCTGATGAAATAGTGTTGAATGGTCGATAGCAACATAGAGCTTCAATCCCTAATGAATATATATGGCACAGAGGGCCACACGTTAGGTTTTGAATTCAGTAGTGTCAAATCAGCGGTCATGGTGCTCAGTAATGTCGGAATTCCAGAGCTAAGGATACAAAAATAAGAGGTTGAGCGATTCGATAAGTCCAACTATGTAGGAGTATGGTCTAACGAAGTTTTAGATTACCACAATGAACATGCAAAATGTGTAATTGGTAAGGGCAACAGAAGTGCAGCTGTAATGAAAATGGAGCACTGTGGAACTGCAACAGGTATGAGGTGCTGAGGGAGATCTGGAAAGGAGCTGTAATTCCGAACCTGACTTTTGCGAATGCAATTTTGTGCACAAAACTGGACGTTCAGACAAGACTAGAAATAAATCAACCTGGTGCAGGTAGATTGGCTTAAAGAACACATGATAACACACCGAACCAAGGTGTACAGAGCTCTGTGGGATGGTCCTCATTCGAGGGTAGGGAAGCTAGCAGTAAGATAGAATTTAAAGATGGGCTGAGAGAAATAGATGCAGAACTAATGGGCACAAAGAGTTTTTAGCTAATTACACATGAGAAACGTCGATACAAAACGCATACTACTACTACTACCACTACTGCTACTACTAAGCGGATGAAAAAATAAAGGACAACCAGAAAGTTAAAAAAAGGAAACTTCGAGGTAAATACGACAAGCAGGCACGCAGACTAAATCGGCTTTGGAAATTTAAAGATCGTTTAAGAAGGTCATTGTTAAGGTGCCCATCTTCGACAATTTCTGGGGGTACTCCCTGTTGTTCGGGGCGAGGACGGGAATGTTGCGGACTAAGACATGGAGAGCTAGATTTGAGCACGTAGATACGGTGTATGGAGCTTGTGGAAAGGAGGAGGAGACGGCTGAGCACTTGATATGTTACTTTGAGGAACTTCACTCTGTTGTAGCTGAAGAGGCGACTAATTTAACAAAGGCACTGGAACTTAGGGATAGTGAGGAAAATATAGACATGGGGAACGTGGAGATAACCAAGACAAGATTATCTTACTGGTGGTATAGGTCGAGGAAAGGATGAATATTTTCTTATTCCCCTCCGGGCAACCCGTAGGGCGGAAAGTGTGGGAGCCCGGTTACACAGAAGAACCTGCATTGTACGGATCGTATATAGCTTTTAAGAATAAATCTCTAGATATATAACTTTATGTTAAATAAATAATAGAAAAAAAAAACACTAGCTAGGTGGCGCAAGCCGCTGCCCGATTCAAAGGCTTCCGTCTCATCCATCCATCCATCGTCGTAAGGGGCACTCCACAAGGCTACGCAACGCACTCGGTTGAACCAAGCGGAAGTGTGCCTTAAAAAAACACAAAGAAAACAGTTAAACTGTTCGCGTCTTACGTTCACTCGTCAGACTTTAGAATTGGAAAATATGTCTTTCCTTTACTCACCATGAACGAGTGAACAGCTTTTGACGCGTATCTGTGAAATCTCAAATTTAGTGTTGCACGTTCAAGATAAAGTGTGGCACGTTCAAGATGACACCCCATTGAACGTCTTAAAGGGCCCCTGAAATGTAGAGAGCGCGAGAAGGTTAGCGCGACCAAGCGATCGCCGGTTTTTCCAGTTTTTCTCTTTGAAAGCAAGGGTTGTCATCCAAGTTATTATTGCTACGGAAAGAGTTCATTTAGTTCTGTAATGTAAGCCATAAAATTTCGTGCTCGCTAATACATTTTAGAAGTAAAATGCAAAAATGCGCCGATGTCGTCTTTGCGCTAACAGTGTCGCGATGTGTACGTCACGAGAGTAGAAGCGCATTCACAGAACATCTCGCGGATCCCACTTCTCCGTTGGAACAGCGGTAAACGCATCACCTCCATTTCTGTGAATTGCAGAAGTTGGTCTTGCTACGTGTGCTCGTGTTGTCGACGTTGGTTGGCAGTTATTCCAGTGAGAAATAAAAACCGATATGACGCTCTTCGTGTACGCCTGCTATCGCGGTAATAGTTAAAAAAATACCACGAGATGTCGAACATCTTTGAACTGGTCGTCGCTTCCCTAATATAAAAAGTAATATTTTTGATAACAGTTGTATGTACGACGCTGTGGTGTGAAGTGTGCAGTTTTTGAAGTGAACGAATATTTTGCTGTAGCCAGGAACGTGTAGCTTGGATTGTGTGGTCACCCCATCCGTCCGACTTCCATCTTCCAGCGGTTGGACATCCAGGGTAAGGTCCGAGTGCTGCACGGTCAGAACCACAAGACGGAAGAACCTCCGCTGGCGCTGTTCGCCGTGTGCACTCCCTTCGGCCCGCCGTCGCTGCTTGAGATGCCCCAGAAGGAGTCCATGTTCAAGAGCAAGCACAAACTGGACCTCGCCATGGTGTCCATGGACCAGAGGCGAGTCTCTACTTCATCTGGTTCCTCTCGGCGCGAACGGGTCCTTCAATCAATGAACCCCGGGCGAGACATACAAGCGCAGAGGTCTGAAGAGCTATACCGGGCAGGCATGAAGCCCCTCTTCATCATTTAAAAACTCGAAACAGTGCCCACTTCCAGGTTTCGACAGAGGGATCGGTGGCCGAGTGTGTTAGAGCACCGCGGCTTGGAGAATGTGAAGCGAATAGCTCGCACTGCAGAACCCCCGGATTTTGGGTTCAATCCCCACTTCTGACTGTTTCGACCTAGATTAGCATCGTATACCGGCGTGCAGTCCTGTATCACAACGTCGTGATGCACGTTAAAGACCCCCGGGCTAATAGTCGTACCGCGCTGGCCAAATTTCTCATCCACAGCGGAAGCACCAGACGCCCACCGGCTCACTTCCCAATTCACGTTTCGACACTTTCCCGGAAAAAGGATAGGTCTGACCATATAGCCTCCTCTATTTAATGGCTATGGCTGGACATGCTGATAGCGGGAGCGAATGAAGTGGCGTACATTCTGTTTTCCTTGACTTCACGCCTCGGAAGCATACGCCATCGGCACGTAGACCGTCTTCCCATTCCCCACGTAACAGGGTTATCACATGCAAGCGGTTCTACCCTAGAGCAAGCATTGATTATGTCGAATTAATGAGGCCCCTTTTCAAACAGTTAAAGCGATGGCAACGCACTGCCAGTCTGACTGCCCTTCAGATTACCAAAATTCAAAGATAACCCCTTATGTGCGCAGTTGCTTATGCCTTATTTTTCGGGCATTCCTCATATTTTTTCCTCCCTCTAATGATCGATATCATGTCGAACTCTTATATGTAGTTAACACCAACAAGGACTTTTGAAATGGGCATATTTTAAGAAGTTGTATGTAGGGTAAGCTTCCGATATTCTTTCAACTGAAGAAATACTAAACTCTCAATTAAACTTTTTTTTTAGTTCCTGGTAGGACACATATGTCACCAAATGAACTTTCCCTGAGAAATAAATTTTAGCACAATATTGAAGTCGCGAGACTCATTTCAGCCACTCCGGCACATGTTTCTATTTCGGAATCGCTCAAATGAGTTTCTCTACCTAAACGTTGCTGTAAATGTGGTGATGTTCTTTTCAAGGAAAGTTCACGTTGTGACAAGGGTTGTCCTATTCAGCCTCATGAGAAGAATGTAATGTTTTCGTTAGTTCGTTTTCTCCTTTAAGAGAACCGCAAGCCCGGTTCTGTAAAGACGTGTGTCCGAGCTGCGATTTGCACCTGCGCAGGGGCAAGCAGTTGCTGGGCTACGCAGACTCCGATTTCATGAGCCAGGGTGGCTACGACCTGGTACATTTCGACGACCTGGCCTACGTAGCAAGCGCCCATCAAGAGTGTGAGTATCCCTGCCTTCGCCTCATGTTTCGAGGAGTTTCACGTTGTTATCACATGGCGCTCATCAAATTAATCCGCATTTTAGAGACCTTCACACCGGAGTCCTTCGTACCCTTGGCAAAAAGCAATACGAATTAAGTAGCAATGAAAGTTCTGCGCCGTTTCCGCAAAATATTGTCATGATTTAAAGTCTGCTACTCCTTGCGCCAAAATGCCTTTTTTATTAGGGATTGCGCCACACTTGCGTAAAAAATAGCTTATACCAAGCAGAAAAACAAAAATTATTATTGGTCGATTTTATTATGCAGCAAAGTAGAAGAAAGGGGAAACGTGACAAATGTGTATTCCAAAGTGTCTCTATTCACCATGCAGTTTGTTTGATCTGAAAACAGAGAGCACAGTCGAAGGCTAGAACACATGAAACGTCACAAACTCATGCTAAATGCGTAAGTCGCGCAGAATTGGCTACGCTTAATTCGAGGTAAGCCGGTGAAAGAGCACCCTCGGAAGGATGACGAATGCACATGATGTTGCATCTTTGCCGCTGTTTTACTTGTCCCACTGGCTCGTAGCATCGGCTGCACTTTGACTTGAAACGGAGTGAGAGATCTCTCGCCAACCGCGCTGGGCCCGTCATCGTTCGAGTTTCCGGACGATGTCGGCCACATCAGGGCTTAAAAGTCGCGAGAGAAATTTGCAAAATAGTGGGATGGCGGCTACCGTGACGAGACAGAACCGGTGCCTTTTACTCCGAATGATATCACTTGATTATGATGTCTGCCACACGCCTCCATGTCGGTGGTTACAGTGTACCGCGCCACTAGCGTCTCTCGCGTCAACCGTCTCACACAAACGCGCGCGCGCGTCGAGCTTCACCACTTTGCACCGGAGTGTTAGGAGCAGCAGCTAACCTGGGGAAACGACCCGGTTTGTACCGGTTGCTTGGAAATTATGATGAATACTACTACGGGGCGACCTTCGTTGGTCTTAACTGTGGGTTAACATTTAATAAATAAATAAATAAATAAAATACTGTGGTAAGGAAAAACAAACAAAAAACAAACGGGGATCTATATTTGAATAAATACGTTAGTCAATGTAGTTTCCGTGCAGCAGTCAAGGCAGCTAACTTTGACTCAACTCTGGCTCCAGAGCCGCTAAAGCGCAGTGTCGGTTTTAAAGCAAAACTGTAGGTTTTCGTAATGTTTGTGGTTGGTTTCTTGAAGTTTATTATATTATAATTTTCAATTTAATAGTTCGATTTTATTTTTCTTGAAAAAGGGGGGGGGGGGGGGGGGAGTATTTTTGTCGACGGACTTAAATCAGCAGATATGCTGGTTTTTGCAGGAATTTTACAAAAAATATATTTACAGGCTAAAAGTCTGCCGCGTGTGAAGTGGAAAGGAGGAGACGGGCTTTATCTGAACCAGGGTGTAAGATAGACAGGTGGGGAAACGAGAGCCAGATGAGCGACCGGATTGCGTCCCCCTCGGTTTTCTCTTTTTCTGTGGCGCCATCTATGTGGAGCACCGCGAACTCTCACTCCCGGTGGGCGACCGGTGGCGACCGGCTAAACTGACGAAGACGGTGCTCTCGGTTTATTTTGCGCACTCTCCCATAGAAAAGAGTCAAAGTACAGGCTAGCTGGTGGAAGTCAACCATTTCGTCGTTTACCCTGAGACTGGGGGGTTTTTTGAAGAGCAGAAGAAACAGAAAAAACAGACAGGTCTCAAACTCAGCTACACGTTTATTTCAAAAACTTCCTCTTATATAGTTCGTTTTCGTCGTCAACAACCAATCACATACGACTTGTCCTTTGCACCGTGACTTTACAGGTTCCACTATATCACAAAAGAAGCGGACACTCCCAACGTTTCCAAGTGAAAAGGTTCTAGCAGAAGATATGCCCCACAAAGCACCAAGCAACTCTTTTGTGTCCTCACAATAAACAGGACAACAGCCAACAACAACATCCCACTCAAAACCGGTCACCTCCAAAATTGTAGAAAACAGACAATACACACCGGTACACACCACAGACAATACACACCAACGAAGCCTTCCAGAATGACTAACTAAAAAAAAAAAAAAAAAAAAAGCACCTAAAATTGTAAAAATTGCTTGCATCGGTTCCCTATTTGCATGGAAGGTTGACTAATGCAATTTCCCAACGATCTAATCCTAATTGTTTCTCTTACCACCCTTTTAACATCGTTCCTTTCCTTAACAACTACATCCGTTCCAGACCAATCCGTTGTGCAGTTTCTACACTCCTCCAGATGCTTAGCCAACTCCGAATTTGCTGCATTATTTTTAACATTCCTTTTGTGTTCTGTTAAACGATCGTTTAAACACCGAGAGGTTTGGCCTACATACTTAAAACCACACGCCAAAGGAACCTCATACACCACGCCTACGCTACACGGCACCGACTTTTCCCTATGCGCCTTCTGACAGCCCCTCTGAGCCGTTTCAAAAGGTGTCAATCTATCTAACCTAAAATCCGTGCTGAATACGACATCCACGCCATATTTTTTTGCACATGCTCTAAGAGCATGTGCAAAAAAATATGGCGTGGATGTCAAAAGGAGGCATGTTTCGACCGTGCGTGGTATGTCAAAAGGAGGCATGTTTTGGACAGTTTCAAGTTGTGGAACTCTCGCGGAGCAGAGGTAAATAAGTGTGTACAGGGGACGGGAAATTGTAAACAACAGCATTGTATAATTAACCCGGAAAATGTAGTGGTGTCAAAGAAATTGGAGGAGTTCTTGGGTAGAGGTCCGAAGTACTGTGTAAACGTTAAGCCGTCTAGACTCGACGTGTTTTCTGACATACAGTCAATCGCCAGGGTTGTGGATAGTGAGGAGAAGTTTGCGTTTGTCGAAGATGCTGTAGGGCGCATGGAAAAATTAATGGGAAACGCGTATCCCATCGATAGAAGGAATTTCAAGGATGTGAGAGCGGTGAAACAAGAGTTAGAAAGGAGTTCGTTAAAACTGTTGCAGACAGATAAAACAGGAAGGTTTGCAGTTTTGCCTGTACAGGCCTTTCAGAAGAAGTCGGAGGAAGCGTTGGGATCATTGTTTAATGAATGGAAGGGCAATATCGGGAAGCTGAGGAAAAGCATTTGCAAGGTTTTTCAGGAGGAAAGCATGGAAGAGGTAGCGAAAAGCGTTTTGAAACCGTTGCGTTCAACGCTCACCCTTAAGTTCTTTTTGAAGGATCACAAGATTGAAATGCCCCTTCGTACCGTTGTTAACGAGAATGGGACGTGGCAGAAGGTCGTCTCATGCTTCTTACAGCGGGGTTTGAAGTTAGCTAATTTGGAGAAGTCAATTGCCTTAAAGAACTCTAGTGAGTTGATTGAGGTAATGGAAAAGTTTCACGGAAGGAAGTGCGCGGTATTCTCCATGGACATCAAGGACCTATATTACTCTTTAGAGAAAAGCAGACTAATGAATAGAGTGAGGATCGCCTTGGAAGGGAACCTTATTAAGTTTCAATCAGGAACAGGAATAGCGGTGGATAGTTTTCTTTCGGTGCTAGACCTTTATTTACAGTCAACGGTATTGGAATACGAAGGTCGCAATTTTGTGCAAAAAGAGGGAGTTTGTATAGGTTCGTCTGTAGCGCCTTTGTTAGCGGAAATTTACTTAAACACGGTGGACCAGCAAGTGTATGACAAGGTAGAGGAGTTGTCTCCAAAGTGTTTTGTGAAAAGATTTGTGGATGATATCTTAGTTTGCTCTGTTCAGGAAGGATTGGACCAAGTTTTAGAACAAGTAGTAAGGTCAGCGGCGCCAGAGTTGAGATTCACGTTAGAGAGGCCAAGGGGCGAGGTCCTGCAATTTCTCGACCTGCGTTTGCATTTGGAACGAGGTCTTTGTTGGGAGTATGGGAAGGAAAACCCAAAACCAGTTCTGTCAAAGAATAGCTGTCACTCGAAAAATGTAAAAGCCGGGGTAGTCAGATCTTTGATTAGTAATGCTTTGGTGAGATCATGCATGCATTTCGGACCGGAGGCACTAAAAAACCAGTGGGAAAGACTGGTAATGGCAGGATATGGGGAAGAGTACATCAAAAGGCAGATTGCCCTACAGTGCAGGGAGAAAAAGGGGAAGACGCAAGAAATCAGGAATAGGTACGCTGTGGTTCCGTATTTTCACGAGGTGTCCCACAATCTTAGAGCATGTGCAAAAAAATATGGCGTGGATGTCGTATTCAGCACGGATTTTAGGTTAGATAGATTGACACCTTTTGAAACGGCTCAGAGGGGCTGTCAGAAGGCGCATAGGGAAAAGTCGGTGCCGTGTAGCGTAGGCGTGGTGTATGAGGTTCCTTTGGCGTGTGGTTTTAAGTATGTAGGCCAAACCTCTCGGTGTTTAAACGATCGTTTAACAGAACACAAAAGGAATGTTAAAAATAATGCAGCAAATTCGGAGTTGGCTAAGCATCTGGAGGAGTGTAGAAACTGCACAACGGATTGGTCTGGAACGGATGTAGTTGTTAAGGAAAGGAACGATGTTAAAAGGGTGGTAAGAGAAACAATTAGGATTAGATCGTTGGGAAATTGCATTAGTCAACCTTCCATGCAAATAGGGAACCGATGCAAGCAATTTTTACAATTTTAAGTGCTTTTTTTTTTTTTTTTTTTTTTTTTTAGTTAGTCATTCTGAAAGGCTTCGTTGGTGTGTATTGTCTGTGGTGTGTACCGGTGTGTATTGTCTGTTTTCTACAATTTTGGAGGTGACCAGTTTTGAGTGGGATGTTGTTGTTGGCTGTTGTCCTGTTTATTGTGAGGACACAAAAGAGTTGCTTGGTGCTTTGTGGGGCATATCTTCTGCTAGAACCTTTTCACTTGGAAACGTTGGGAGTGTCCGCTTCTTTTGTGATATAGTGGAACCTGTAAAGTCACGGTGCAAAGGACAAGTCGTATGTGATTGGTTGTTGACGACGAAAACGAACTATATAAGAGGAAGTTTTTGAAATAAACGTGTAGCT